GCTTCCTGTCTATCTCTCCAGCCCCAGTGAAGGTTAAATGGAAGGCGAAGGCAGAACACTGGCGGCAGGCTGGCAGCCAGAGCAGACCGGGTGGTGGGAGGGAAAAACACAAAGCTTTCTGTGAGGAAGAGAATGGGAAGGGCTTTTCTTCCTCGACGCCCCCCCACCCCCCGCAGAGAGGCTATGTGTTCTATCCTGAGCAGGGGCCTTGGGCATGAACATACTCCCTTTTATAGTCACCCTGAGGTGGACTGTGAAATCCTACTTTCCCCGAGAAGTGTCCTGCCACTCGCTCTTATCTTGGGGGAAGGAGACTCTGAATGTTATCTCCTATATCTGTTATCAAAGAGCCAAGATTAAACAGGTCGCCTCAATTCCTGGCTTTTGCTGCCACGGCACCCGCGATTCAATTTGCTCTCTCAGTCCCCATAGTGACAGAAAAGGCTTTTCCTATGGCTGTTTTATAGCCTGGGCTCAGGTGCCTATGGAACTGACTAAGCTATCTTTCGCCACACAGGGCTGGGGATTTGTAAAGGGAAGCTGGCACCGGGTGAACACACCCAACAGAATGGGTTGTGACAAGACGCACATACACAAAGATCTGGGTCTACTGGCCATCATGTGGCCATCAAGGTTACATGAATCCTGCCCCCCTCCACACCCCTCTGTTCTTGACAACATGGTAGGCAGCTAGCCTAAAGGGCTTATTAGAATTCCAATTTGATAACATTTCCCTTAAGCCCCTCCAGGTTGGCTACTGCCCTTATCCAGTGTCTCGTGTCCAATCAAGCCAACAGCCACATTTCGATGTGTGTTCACGCGAGTACACTTTCGCTGCTAAGACTTAGGAACTATTATTAGCACATAATGACTTTGAACAACTTTTTAGATTCTTTCAAGCACTGAAATAGAATCAATACTACCTTGGCCTTCTATAGGGGGAAACTGAGCCTCTGAGAGGATAATTAACTTTCCTCAAAATCACGGTTATCCATCCACTTTCCATATCCTGGTTGTGTGGTATTTACTTGACTTCACCTTCAAGTATGGCTGACTACGCACCATGTATTTATTGTGTAGACTTACTTTTAGCACCTTTCACCCAATAATTCTATCTGCAGAACAGCAAATGGTGATTGTTCTCACAAGTTTGGCCCCTCTTTACCTTACAGGTGCCTGTAAGAGGGCGGATTGTAATCCCAGTGAGGCAGGTGGTGGGGTGAGGATTGTCCATTCCCCTTCTGTAACGGTCCCCTAGAGAGGCTCTGGCCTCCAAGTTCAATCTCTTATGAGACAGGAAGGATGATCACACATATGCAAAGAGCAGATTCTGGAAGAGTATCCAAATTTAAAACCAGGAAAAATCTATTCAAATTTGACTCTCTTGTAATGCCTAATACTTCCATTCCCTGATAAATCAGAGAGAAGTTGACGTCTCAGCCAATTCCCTATTAGCAAAATAGTTCCAAAGGAGGACTAGAGAAATCCAAACTCTAAAGGGAATGACCACATTTGCTTTATGATTTGTGCTCTCTTGAAGGAGGTTAGTTTGACGGAGAAGTTCACTGCTTTTGTTTTATGTTTTTATTATGTCCTGCTAACCCACCCAACACACTTTCAATTCATTTGTGGAGGAAATATCCATCTAATTAGCAAACCTAAGGAAGTTTATTACAAGCTATGCTCAGGAGAATCACAACCAGATTAGATATTAAATTATCTTTTCCCTTACTTCATCATAACTTTACAGTTGAAGTATATGAATAGGTATCTATAAACAACGTGTATAATTTAACTCTGATTTTTAAGTTGGAAAGGTTTAAATACATTGACCACCTTGAAAGCACAGTGTTAATTTTTCTCTTCCCAGATTCCTCCCTCTACACTATCCCCAAATTGTATTTTATCTCTAAGGAACTATTCAACCTTTGGTCTTTTAGCTGAGGCAGTCAATGAGGCAGGCAACTCAGAAAAATCAGGGTGAGGAGACCAATAATCCCATGTGATGGTAATTAACATTGAGTGGCCTCTGCTAATGTGCTAGAAGAGAGTAAGAACTTGCTCACCGGGCCTTCATCCTTAATGAGGCAGAGGGGGGCTTAGATAGGGGAGGAATGATTTGTTGGAAGCAAAAGGAATGGGACGCATCTTAAAATGTCATTTTCAGAGCACAGCCTGGGTGAGGTAAGAAATTAGGTTCTTTCCAAGTCCTTAGCCCCGCTTCATCAAGATTGAGCTCTGGAGGTTTCAAAGATGAGGACCCACGCAGTCAACTAAAGTTAAGTGACTAGCCCAAGGTCACACAGTGAGTTAGCGAGAGTATGAAAATTATAATTCATAGTCTTTTGTATTTCTAGTTCATTGCCTGGTGCAATGAACTATAGTGAAAAAATACTCTGTATAATAAAGCCCCAGAGCCATTCTTTTTAGACTTACAGGAGTTGAACAAATTAATAACGGGCTCAGAATTTAAGAAAAAATCAGTTTGAAACTTAAAATTGAATTAAAACACATAGCCCACAGTTACAGTACTGGTCACCAGGGTAAAATGTTCTCTGTGATCATGACTTCAGGCTAACATTAATTAAAAAGAAAAGAAGGAAATGGTGTGGACCTGGAAATCCGTTACCTGTACCTACAAAACTAGCTATTATTGTTCACCCAATTCATTCGACATTCAGTATTCCATTCAAAAACTATTATTTGAATACTTATGACACACCAAGCCCTGTATTAGACATGGGGATATAATAGTAAGACAGACACAGAGTCCTTGTATACTCACAGAGTCATCAAGCGAGCAACTATATCCCAAACAGGTCAGGTTTAGTTGTCTGGGACACACCTTTCACCCCACTTATTTATGGGCAACTCTTGCCACTCAAGTTCATAAAAAGAGAAACCAAAAGCCCAGTTGCTCCCAAGTCCCATTATAACCACTTGACATTTGTTGTGTGATTCCATAAGAACAATTGATGCTTGGGGTGCCTGGGTGGCTCAGTTGGTTAAGGGTCCAGCTCTTGGCTCTTGAGTTCAAGCCCGTGTCCTCATTGGGCAAAACCTACTTGGGATTCTCTCTCTCACTCTCTCTCTCTCTCGCTCTCAATCTCTCAAAATAAATCAATAAACTTTAAAAATAAAGAACAATAGGGGCACCTGGGTGGCTCAGTCGGTTAAGCATCCAACTTCGGCTCAGGTCATGATCTCACTGCTTGTGAGTTGGAGCCCCACGTCGGGCTCTGTGCTGCCAGCTCAGAACCTGAAGCCTGCTTCAGATACTGTGTCTCCCCTTCTCT